GAAAAAAGTCTTCCCATCTCCTCTATTGACACACGCCCTCTTCTAGTTGGTGATAAAGATTACTATGCATAATCATGTTTTTTTCAGGCTAAATGCCAGTGAATCTGTATCAGCAATGTGCTCTCTGTAATTCTTTCTTTAGGAAGGCAGATTTCATTTTAAAGACATTTAAACAAGTGAATGTTTATTATTATTCTATCATTATTCATTACTCATTATTCTATCATTATTCATCCCACTACCCTATATCATTCAGACTTTATCACTATGTGAAATAACCCTATTTGAATTATTATCTGCCTCTCCTTTCCAGAATGTAAGCTCTATGAGGACAGGAATGTTGTCCTGCTCACCACTGTGTCCCCAGTGAATGGCATCTAGTAAGGACTCAAGATGTAGTTGTTAAATTAATAATGAAAAAGGTCGGGAGGGGGGAGAGAAATTTAAATAAGACTATATGTAAGGAAATGGAAAAAAGGAAAGAAAACTACAATGAAATACACAAGCTGACGTGACTCTAGGCTGTAACGTCAGCCCGGAGGTTTGGTGGATATTTTTCAAGGTGGACAGGTGCTCCACACCTATCTAAAGGCATCCAGGAAGAAGAAAAATCCACAGGGAGGTCTCCGGGTAGCTGTGTACAGCTCCCAGAAGAGTGAAAATGATCATCATCATAACAGAAATGTCGTCCAGGTCGAAAAAACAACTACAGCACAACAACACACTATATTTGGCCCAGATGAAAAATCAAACGAAGCCCCAACACAATGAAACCAAGCAAGCAACGTTCCGCCGACACATAGAAAGATCATAGTCTCCTTTCCCCAGGCCGTGCAGTCGCCCGCAGCCCAGCAAACCCCCTCACTCACCACTTTCCCCCCTCAAGGACCCCCGCCCCAGCTGGTCCAAGGTGAGAGGGAATGGAGTAACAGTCTGAGAATTAGCTTTCTCCACTCCCACCCGAGCCCAATCCTCTCCAAAGCGCAATGCCTCCCACTCTCCCACCCGGAGGCCCTGACCCCCGCGCCAAGGGCTTCTCCTGCTGCCCCTCACTCACGTGTAGATGATGGCCATGAAATGCATCAGCCACAGCACCAAGAAGAGGACGAACCCGAAGACGGCCATTCCCTCCAGGGCCAGGTCCAGCAGCGCCATCCCCCGGCCCGGCCCGGCCCGCTCCGGCCGCCGCCGCGGACCGCGCTCCCGCCGGAGGACAGGGTGGGCGCCCGGCGCGGGGGCGCTGGAGGGGAGAGGAAGGTGGGGAGAGGAAGGGGCGGAGGGGGGTGGGGACGGAAGGGGCGGGCAGGGCCTGCGCGCCCCGCCCGCGCGCACTCGTTCCCTCGCTGCCCTGGGCGCGCTCGCGGCTGCGGGCGCTGCGGTGGCCGGGCTCCGTGGTCAGAGCGGCAGTGGCCCCCACGCTCCGGCTGGCCTCTCCACACCCTCACGGCCGCCGGCCGGTCCTTGAGCGCCTGCGCCCCAGATGCCAACGCCCCGCCGCCTCGCCGCGGAACCCCGGGCCGCGCAGCTCCGCACCCTGCTCCGCCGCCGCAGCTCCGTGCACTAATCGAAACCGGCGGCCAGCGATCCGACTCCCCGGCGCGCCCCGCCTCGCCCCCGCCCTCCGGAACCGTGGCGCCCGCCTCTCCGAGGGGCGGTGCGCGCCGCTGCTCCCCGCCCACCTTGCCGCCCTCGCGCCCGCTGCGTCACCGTCACCTTCGAGAGCGCGCCCCTGCGAGGCTTCTGCTGGACGCGAGCCCGCCTTCCCTCCCCGGGCTCCTGTCTCCGCCGGCGCCTACCCCTCGGCGTCGGGCGGCGGCGCCCCGGGCGGCCAGCCCTGCAGCCCCGGGGCCGGCCTCCCCCGGCGGTGGCGGCGCGTGACCGTGTGTCCGGCTCAGAGGCTGCTTGCCCTCTGTCCGGCTGCAGTGTTCGGGGGCGCCCCAGAGAAAGACACGGAGTTCCAGGCAGCCGCTCGGGTTGTCTCGAAATCCAGTTTCCAACGCTGTATCTGCAGCTTCTCCGCCGGGCACCGCTCAGAGAGGCTTAGGCCCTCCTCCAGGCCATGCTCCTGGACGCACGGGTGTCCCATTGCCTTTCTTTCTCAATGCTTTTAATGCTGTGTTGTCTTGGATCACAACCGACCGGAGAGCAAAATAATCGTACGCCTCACATATCTCTAAGCACCGTAGAGAATGTAACGTAAAAGAAATCCTCACATTCACAAATATAAGGAATCAGTTAGTATGGAAGTCCCCTAAGACTACTGTCCAATACGGTAGCCATATGTGGCTATTGAGCGCTTAAAATGTAGTTGGTAGAAATTGAGACGTGCTGTGCGTCTAAACCATACGCCGATGTCGAAGACCACCTCATTAACCAATTTTGGTTACAATTATTGATTACATCGTGAAGCTATATTTTGATATATTGGGTTAAATTAAAAGTTATTAATTTTACTGTTTTTGTTGTTTTACTTTTAAAATATAGCTAGTTACCAGAAAATTTTAAATTACGCATGTGGATAGCACTGCTCTAAAATGTTAAGCAGTGGGGCGCCTGGGTGGCGCAGTCGGTTAAGCGTCCGACTTCAGCCAGGTCACGATCTCGCGTTCTGTGAGTTCGAGCCCCGCGTCAGGCTCTGGGCTGATGGCTCAGAGCCTGGAGCCTGTTTCCGATTCTGTGTCTCCCTCTCTCTCTGCCCCTCCCCCGTTCATGCTCTGTCTCTCTCTGTCCCAAAAATAAATAAACGTTGAAAAAAAAATTAAAAAAAAAAATAAAATGTTAAGCGGTGGCACTATGGATTGTAAGGCAATTTAGCATTTATCTTCATTTTAAATCTGTCCAGGGAGATGTTTTAATCTAGTATTAAATGTTCCTGTTTGTTTCTTTAGCCTAGATGAGTTTATATTGTTTCTTGATTGTTTTATGTTTAGACAGTGTTTATTATTTCAAGTGATTTCCTTTAAAATAATCCATGACCTCCCTTGAGATTTCAGAATTGCATTCAATTTTGAAAAGAAGTTGGTTATTTTATCATTGCTATTTATTATAGCTGATATTGAGTAAATGAACTACCTTAATCTACAATTAAGTGATAAATTACAATCAGAGAAGAGTTTAAATTAATGTCTGTACTGAGAACCAATCTGCATTTACTATACTTTGTGTTTTACTGGGGTAAAGTCGGTGAGAAAGAACAATGCTTACAAAGGAAACTTCTATTGTTCAGAGTTATTGGTTGATGAATTAAAGTTATAGTGGGATGGTACACTACTAGCAAAATAACTACAAATGGAAAAAAATTTTAAGTTTATTTACAGAGAGAGAGTGTATGTGCGCACGTGTGCGCGTGTGCAAGCAGGGGAGGGGCAGAGAGAGAGGGAGAGAGAATCCCAAGCAGGCCCCACACTTTGAGTGCAGAGCCAGAAGCAGCAATATTGTACTTGAGCCTAGTTTCGGTTGGTCTTGTACAAACCATTCTACAGTATCTGTTAGGACCACATATTCCAAAATGAATATGCATGAATATGTAACCCTAAAGTTAGAATATATAATCCTAACATTCTATAGATACTATAAAAGTGTGCATTTCTTCCATGTAGCACAGCAGCATAGGAGTCTAGCAAAGACCCTGTCCACTGATCTCACTTTTAGCAGTTAACACTTTTTTTGGTTATCTAATGGGCACTCTTCTCTTTTAGAAAACCGATTTCATGAAGGCCAGGGCTTCTGATTCTCTCCAGAGATAATCGAGTACCATTTGTATATATTAGAATTCATACTAATAAATTTTGAGGAGCAGTGTTTTGAGGAGCAGTGTTTTCAGAGGCAAACAAAATCCAAAATTAACTATCATTTAATGGCCCTAGAAACTTTAGTTTATAAAACCTTAACAAGAAAATAATTCCAAATATCTGGTTCAAACCAAGTAGTTACAACACATTTTTGGCTTGAGCCAAACCCAAACCAAAATATTTATAGCTGACTCTAAACTGAAACTTAAATAAAATTGTATTAATTCTGGCCCCATGTCCCCGAAAAGATAGGGCAGAAGGCTGGGAGAATACAGGTACATACATAAAATTACTTCATAGAAACAAAATTTATCTTTGGTAAGTTAATACTCTTAGTTACATAATGCCCTATATGCCTATATATAAAGGTTCATGTTACATTTTTTAAAGTTACATTTTCAACAATCAGGATACCTAATTTGGGTTGTGTCTAAGAAACATCATCTTTGGTGAGATTCTAGATAAATCAAGTTTAAAATGTGACACTTGAAAGGCTATGCACAGAAAAAACACTGAAAGAAATACCAGACAATTATTTATCTTTGAAGAATGAAATGTGTTGATTTTTTTTACCTGCCTTTTTATATTGTTGATTTCCTATAATGAGCATTATTGTTTTTATGGTGAAAAATATGGCCATTTTTCTATTTTACAAAGGGGTTGATGAGAACCAAGTAGAAAATTTTTGTTATTTATTCTTTTAAAATTATGAGTGGTACAGTCACTTTGGAAGACAGTTTGGCAGTTACTTACAGAACTAAACATACTCCTAACCATATGATCCAGCAATAGCATCCTTGATATTTATCCAAATGAGTTGAAAACATGTACACACAAAAACCTGCACACAGATGTTTCTAACAACTTAATCATAACTAACAAAACTTGGAAGCAACCATGTCATTCAGCAGATGAGTGGATACAATGTGGTACGCCCAAACAATGGAATATTACTCAGCACCAAGAAGAAATGTGCTATCAAGCCTTCATGAAAGACAGGAAGGAAGATTAAATGTATATTACTAAGTGAAAGAAGACAATCTTTTCACTTATATGGCATTCTAGGAAAGGCAAACCTAGAGACAGTAAAAAGATCAGTGGTTGTGGTTGTCATGGGAGAGAGACATGAATAGGTGATCACAGAGGATTTTAAGGGCAATGAAACTAATCTGTACAATACTTTGTTGGGTTGCCTGGGTGGCTCAGTTGGTTAAGCATCTGACTCTGGATTTTGGCTCAGGTCATGGTCTCATTGTTTGTGTGATTGAGCTCCATGTAGGGCTCTGCACCGGCAATGCAGATCCTGCTTGGGATTCTCTCTCTCTCCCTCTCCCTCTGCCCCTCTCCCACTTGCACTCTCCCTCAACATAAATAAAGAAACACTAATACTAAAATGGTGGGTACATGTATTATACATTTGTCAAAACCCATAGAATTTACACCACCAAGAGTGAATTCTAATATAAGCTGTGGACTTTGGGTAATGACATTGTCAGTGGAAGTTCATCAACTGTAACAAAGGCACCACTCTGGTGAGGATGTTGTTGGGGGTAGGGGTGCTGTGCATGTGTTGAGGCAGAGTGCATATGAGAACTGTCTATAATTTCTGCTCAGTTTGGCTGTAAACCTAAAACTGCTCCAGAAAATAAAATCTATCTTTTAAAAACTAATGAGTACTCCACCATATGTATATGTACATATTGTAAGTGTCTGAATGAGTGAGATAATCTAGTTTGTCATCAGATCCCAGGGCTTTGCACCTTCTAGGCACTCAAATATTTGTTGAACGAATGAATAAATAATCTATGTTGAGAGAAGTCACCGGAAAAATTGTTAAACTTTCTCCTTCTCTCCTTTCAACTTTTTAAATACTTTAAAAATATTTTTTCTTTGTGGAAAAAAATACACATTATTTAACATAACCCCTCCTTCATATTACATAATTAGATCACAGAATTGCAGAGAGTAACTACATGTTAGTTTGCCTAATTACAACCTGAAGACCTGCTCCAACTCCTATATTCTCCTTGACAGAGTCAATGCATGACTTTTATGTCAGCATGGGACGTTATTTTCCATCTTTGTCATTATTATAAAGAATCTTTCATATAAACATTTTTTTTCAACGTTTTTTTATTTATTTTTGGGACAGAGAGAGACAGAGCATGAACAGGGGAGGGGCAGAGAGAGAGGGAGACACAGAATCGGAAACAGGCTCCAGGCTCTGAGCCATCAGCCCAGAGCCTGACGCGGGGCTCGAACTCACAGACCGCGAGATCGTGACCTGGCTGAAGTCGGACGCTTAACCTACTGCGCCACCCAGGCGCCCCTCATATAAACATTTTAAAAATCACAATTCAGTTC